TGGCGTTGTTTCTGCAAAGAAAATCAACAAAATCCCCTCTTGCAGAAAGCTATTATTTTGTGCCGAAGCTCTAAAAATCCATCATATAGCCCATCTGCTGTCTGCAATTGCAAGGCTTGATAGAAATGTCTCAAAATATAATCGTTGCCTTTCTGTGCCATGATTACACCTTTGAAGTTCCCTGTGAGTGTGACAGATCGGCTGCCGTCTGCCAGGAGTGCCTAGTCCATGCAGATCAGAAAGTGTGGGTAAGAGGGAAATAAGCACAGTCCGGTTAACTTTTGTCCGGACATGCATGGGCTTAAGGATCGGCACAGGACAAAATGCTTTGGAGAGGTGACGGCTAAGTCTTTCTTTAAGGGCACCCTTCATCAGCACGGGCAGACCGGGAGGTTTAATGACCTTCCACTGTTAATCCTCGCCCACATGCAAGTGCTGCCCTCACACCTGCTTTGTCTTTCCAGATGAAGACCACAGAGCCTACGCAACAGCACAGACAGATTTAGGATCAAAATGAAGTTTTGCAAATTCCTCAGCTGCCAGCTCAGCTTCAGCTGGAGCTGGAGCATTAAGACAGGCCACATCTCTGCTTCAGCTCCTGGCAAGGCTCTTGGCTGAGGAGCTGAAACTCAGGGATGGCTGATGAGATATTGCCAGAGACTGACACCCGAGGCTGGATGAGAAGGGACTCATCGCAACAGACTTCAGCTGCCTAAAAGCCAAGTAGTCAGTGTCAGCAAGCTGGCTTGCAGGCACCAAAACATTGTGACTCTCCTTTGTGGGTAGGTGTACAGCTGGCACAGGGCAGCATCACTGTCGATGTACTGTAGAATATTTAAATTTTACATGCCTAGGGAGAAAAATGAGGGAGGGATGTGCAATTATTGCCAAAACATTAGGACATATTCTTGGCAAACTGAAAGTTTCTGGAACAAAAAGCTGAGGCTCTGGAGTAGGATGCTCAGCTTTTGTGTGGCATGACCTTAGTGGGGAAGAAAGACTGTGAGAAAGAGTAAGGACTTTCAAGCTAGAGACTGGAGGGGATCGAGCACGGGTTCATGATGGCATGTCCTTAAAGGTGCCATTTTGACCTCTTTCTAACCACAAGTAAGCAGGAAACGGCAAGGCACAATCTGGACAAATAAAGCCCGTTTTAACAGGGCACAAGAGCTGGAGCAATCAGGCTGAATGTATGCTTGTTTTTATTTGCTCTAAGTCTGAAAATAAGATACAGGTCTAAAATGCTTGATTTTTATATAAGGGTATTGAAATATCAGAGACATTCCAGAAGAAAGACACTTACTGTCCCATTGTAATAGCACGCTAAGAATTACATGGGAAAGAACCAAAACAGATCCCGTCCAAATGAGGAAAAGGACATGAACTCTGACAAATTAAGAGCAGAAACAGAATGGCAGACCTAAAAAGATTTTGGGGAAATAACTTGCTAATAGACAAAAAGCCTCCTCTAGCCCCGCAGGAGCAGGGACCCTGCTGGAGGGCTCTGCGGGTGACCAGGGGACACGGTCAGCAGACGGTCAGGGTGGCAGAGGCGTTTGACAGAAGACAAGCCCTAACACAGCAGCTAAGCAGACTACTTGTGTCTGCGTTTGGCACAGAAAAGGTTAGTGAAACTCCCACGGCAGAGCCATTTGTTAAGGGGATAATGCAAAGAAGCTGCCTCGGATGGAAGGGCCATTAGATGAGGGTTTAGAACAAATAGATGCAAGGGATAGTAACAAATTCAGCAGAAGCAGATGTTACTCACTTGCGGGTTTTTAAGGCACACTAATGGGTAATCATTGCACTATTAGGGCTGATGTATAACCTTTTACTTAAAACAGCCAAAATAAAAAGAGGATGGCACGTGACACACTTTTCTTGTGTGGGATGTGAGGGATCTAGAGACATGCAACCCACCAATCTGGCACCCGTAGCAGGCAAATGGTAAAAGCCATGGTAACACATTAGTTGGAAGGACAGGTACGGGCGAAGAGGGAAGAATCAGCAGAGCTTTGCGGCGAGGAGCTGCGAAGCTGTGCTTCACCACCCTCTCACGGCTCCAGAGGAGGCAGTGAGGCTGCAGGCTGGAGCAATCCGCTCGGTATGGTCTGCTCAGCCTCTGGGAAGCCCTTAGTAACGTCTGTCACCACGGATCCGTAAAGAAGCTAATCTGGCAGGGGATAAGAGGGATGATCCTCTCATGAGTCAGCAACTGCATACAGGATAGAGAGACAAGGTAAGGATAAATCATCCATTTTTCACAGCGGAGAGAAGTGACCGGTGACATCTTAGAGGGATCTGTGGTAGGGCCAGTGCTAATCCACGGACCCATCAGTCAGGCAGTAAATGGTGAAATGGCTCGGTCTGCTGGTGGTACCAGCTTATTCAAGGTAGTAAAATGCACACTGCCTGCAGGGACCTACAAAAACCATCTCATGAGCCTGGGTAAAGTAATGGCAGCACACAGAAATTCAGTGTGGATAACAGCAGAGAAAAACACACGGCTGAGCTGGGAGGAAGACTCCGTCTCTACCCAGCCTCAGCAATGCCCTCTGAACCAGCTAGTACCATTCAGAACAGGTACCTTGGAATTAGGTAGTTCTATTCAAATGTCAGTTAAAAGCTAGTTACTGACTATAAAGCAACATAAGCTTTACAAATTCCAGAAGTGTCATGGAGAATAACTAGTCACCACTTCTCCTAAGACGCAAGAAAGGGGCATCAAATGATGTTTTCAGGTTCAAGACAAGGATGAAGGCAAGGAACTCTGCTCCTGGGCAAAAAAAATGTCTCCCTTTACAGAAGAACCTGTTGTCACAAGATGTCGAGGACTACAAAAGCACCATACATGGTTTCAGAAGCAAGTCAACAAATGTGTGAAAGATAAATCATCTGAGGGCCATGAAACACTAAGCTACCCCTCAGCTGAGGAAGCCCCTGGGCCAGGAACGGCTAGAAGTGGCCCTCTTCACTGCTGGAGCTAGGACGTCAGACTGATGGGCCTTACACCTGAACCTATTTTGACATTTTATTCAACCAGACAACTTTTAGAAGTAAATTAGAAGAAACCCCGCCACCCCGCAGAGCAGAAGTGCACAACCAGAGCTCAGGTTTCTCATGGGGCTATGAACATCCCATTAGCATTAGTGGTATTTCTTGCTCCAGGATAAGCTACACTGTTTGTTACTTTCTAAGATTAAAATCAAGATTAAGAAAAACCAGGCCATTCTCATGTTCTTTTTCCATGTCTTTTTATGTTCCGCGTTAGCCGAGGACGAAGCTGCAGTTGGAAAGCTCTACACCAACACGGCTGCCGAAAGCAGCAGCTCTGCCATCTAGTACTGCTGGAAAGGACGACGGGGGGGACGCAAAACTAGGCTTCACGGCTGAGCAGAAGAGGGCAAGGCTGCTGAATGCAGGGCTGGCTTAGGCTGACCCCAGGTGCTTACTGACCTACAGTTTAATTTGGTGATGTTTCTTCTGACAGCTGTCCCTTGCGAAGGATAACTGTCCTCATCCCCTCCGAGAGCAGCAGGGTTTGGCAGCTGTGTCCGAATGTCGCCTTTCTCGGCCCTCCCAGGCCATCCCAAATGAAAGAAAACCCCTTGTTTATGAAAGGAAACACTACAGAAGTGACCTTTGCTCCATTATTAGAACTTTATTTATCAGTTCATTTTAATCGTGGATTAAATCAAATCCTTGAAAGATTTTAATTTGTTCTGTAACTGCAAGGACAAAAAAGCTAGACAAAAGTGGACGCTAATGCTCTTGAATGAGCCATTTAAGATCTAATGAGGGGTTTAAGGCCAACAGTCAGATCTGTACTTTGATGGTAAGCTCCAGGTTTGCGCACATCAAAGGGCCTGAATTGCTGAGGGCAGAGCAGAGCCCAGCTCAGCCTCTGCCATGGGTGAGGGTCTGGGCTCTGGCGGCTCAGCTTCCTTACACCAGAGGAGCTCGCGCATGTCCAGTTACAAATTTGTCTTTAGAGTGTTCATCCAGTCTTAAACGGCTCTTCTCTCCTTTATGAAACTGAAGCTGGTGTTAAGATCCTTGCCGGTTTGTCACCGATTTATTGATATCAGCTGTTGCAATGAAGCAGCCAGTGCTGATGCGAAGCAGAAAAGAGATGCTTGCACTCCCAAGCCCACCCTGAAAAATCCTCTTGTGTAGAACACGGGCCATGACAACGCTGCTGTTGGAGGGAAAAAAATCATCCGTGTCTGAGAGCAAAATCTGAGGGGCTTGGAGAAGGAAAAAAAAGAGATTTGCAACAAGCGTGAGAAAAGATGCACAAAACTGTAGCTGATATGGAGCAACTTCCTCTCGCAGAAACCTTGTGTTAAGTCCCCTGAGGTGTAATATGAGCAAATGCAGCGATCAGTGGCACAAACCTGCTCTTAAAATCACACCTGCCGGGTCACTGTGCATGACAGTGACCTAACCTTGCTTTCTGTAAGAGCTGACCTGGAGCCTCGTAATGCAGCACTGCGTGGGGTTTTCTTTTCCTTGTAAATCATATGGAAAAAGTGTAAAGTTTGTTAGCAAGATGGCAGGAGCAAGGGCAATACTAGGTTAGATTTGGTACAAGAGGAGAGAACTAGTTTTTACCGAATTGGAACCTAGTGCACCCGACAGCCTTTAGATGCAGATGAAGAAATGCTAAATTGATGTTGTTTATATTGTACTGCAGCAATCTGATCCCTGTTATGTGACGAATATTTACGTATCTTGCCTTCTCCTTAACATGAGGCTAGGAGAAATGCCCAGGGCAGAAACAATGCCAGATGGAGAAGGACAGCTGGGCTAATACTTGGATCAACCCATCGTGCCTTTCAAAGGTGGCCGCTGGAAGCCAGGTGAGATACCACCGAGCATCTGCAATGACACAAGCTGTTGTCTTAGGTTTCTTCTATGCAGTAACGGAATAAAAGTGCAAAGCAGCTACTAGGAGGTGCACGCTAGTCTGCCATAAATGGAAAAGGAGCCTCTGGGCTTCAAAGCTTGGCCCTCGATGAGGAGCCTTCCAGGGCAGCAATGCACTCTCCCACCAGGCGAGCAGCCTCTTTGGCTGTGCCCCTGTGCATCGAAAAGCCGCCTGACCCGTGCCCGTAGTTGTGGACCACCGGGAGCTTAACTCCTCCTTGGCTCAAGAGCTCTCTCTGCAGTCTCACGCACTGCCTGGACGGCCTCAGGCCCACCTTCACCTGGACGTCCTCAGCTCCCCGCAGCGAGGGCTCAAGGGAGCAGCATCTGTCAAAGATGTCTTTGGTAGTGCCAGGGTCAGGGGAGAGGCTCCAGCTCCCCTCTGTCCTGGTTCCCCCTAGGGTTACCCTGTGTATCCCCGGGTAGATGTAAGTTAAGCCATCCCCATCCCGGATGAAGTTTTTCACCCAAGGAGCATGAACCCTGAGTACTTGTCCCCTGACGGGGAAGAGCTTCTCGTCCCCCACCAGCTGGTGGGCTCCAATACCCGCGCAGTTGACGACGACGTTATATTCGCTGTGCAGGTCCCACAAGTCTGCAACTTTTCTGGTGTACATCTGGACGCCAGTTGCTTTCAACCTGTGAAGAGACTCCAGAAGTGAAGCAGAAAAGAAACCCATAAACCCTCATGTAATTACTACGCACATTAAGTGAGTGAGATAGATCGCCTTTAACGTACCGATCAAAACCAAACAGATGCAACAAAAAGCAAAGACAATGCCATGGGGTTTCTGTTTGTGATTTGTCTGATTTGATCTCATCAAAGCTATTTTTCAGCTTGTTTGGGCTGGAAAAGGTACAGCAAGTTGATCAATATTAGAGAAGGGCCTGGCATAAGACCCTAGGCAGACAGTCAGGTCCTCGTGGTCTCATTCGTTCATTTCTATAACAGTACCAAGCTTTAACAGCTCAAGCAAGCTGAAAAATGTCGGATTTATTCACCAACTTACTTCTGCTAGTGACAGTGCTATCGTACCACACCGCTTTCAATGTGCCTGCTACATGCCATCGCATCCATTCCCAACTCACCTCCCTGACACCAGGAGCCACTTGGTCATCTAGTGTCACATGTGAAGCCCCAGGATCCCCAAGATGTCCCCACAGGCTGGGCAGATGTGGCAGGGGACCCCCCCAGGAGACCCATACCCTTCTAGAGCAGCAGCCAGGAGTCACCCAGGACAGCACTATACATCCATGTTTGCTCTTCAGCAAAATTTACCTCTTCTTGAGGTAAGCCAAATTCTACCCTGAACTTGCCTGAAGCTTGAAGCCCTTCCCCGTGGAAGAACACTGGCGTGAGCTGAAGGCACTGCACGCTGTCAGCTGGATCCAGTTGCCGGGGGTCTTTAGTGGGGGTTTTAGCATGAGCACATCATAAGACAGGTCTGTGATGATGATGCACTAAGTGGGAAATCCTGTCCTTTGCAATATGCTGGCAGCTGGGAAAGTGATCAGCCCCACTATAAAGGCAGTGGTTTCCCACAAAGCAACGACTGAGCCAAGGATCCAGGGCGCAGCCGAAGCTCTGGGGGCCGGGGCTTGGTGCAGCAGGGGAGAACAGGGGAGGTCTCGTGCAGCAGCTCTGGCTGGGCAACTTGCTGGGAGAGCTCATTAACAGTTGTAATTGGGGCTCTGCCATCATGCCATAAAAAATACAGCAATAAAAAAACTCCTGAAAACAGGATTCAGGCAAGCAAGCAGGAAAAGTTTCCTGAAGTCCATTTTCAGACCAGCAAGGTGGGCACAAAACCAATCTTCCTTTGATTGCCAAGAGAATGGTCTATAAATACTGCTCAGGTCACTAGGGGGTTGAGAATTAGTTACATGTTTAATACGTTCTCACTTCTCATCACCAGAAAGAAGAGAAAGAACAGGAGCTTGATCGTCTTAATAGACTACATCCTTTGAGAAATAAGGCGGCTATAGCAGGAAGAAGGAGAGAGCAGAAATCACGTGGCAGATACTAAATGGGTTGTACAACTTAGTTTTGTACTTCAGCAGAAATTTCCGATTCGGTTAGGCAATGAAACATGACAGAGCACATGCACCGAGGAGATGGCGTAGACCTCACACGGCACTGGTGCCACTGGAGTACTCCCAGGCTGGCTGGCTGCTAGAGCACAAAACTTTTTTCCATATTTTGCAGTGAGATGAAAGGCATCCAAGCAACTGGCTGAGCTGGCAATTTGTACCACGGTGTCGGTACACATCTCTTTACTTAACCGCAAATCAGCTTTCTTTCAAGCAGAGGCAGCTATTTGCTCACTTTAGGGGTACTTAAATGGACTAAATGCATATCCCAGGTGTCAGAACCCTTTTTAAACCTGCATCCTGACTCTCCTATGGTTCTCCAAAACCCACGTATTTTGGGGAAACTTGGAAATTGGCAAATTTTCTGACTTTCCTGTCAATCCAGGCATGAACTCTGGGGCCACAACTCCTCAGAGCAAGTACATCACCAATCTTACACAGGCAAACATTTCCAGAAGCTTTGTTACAAGATGATGCTATTTGACCTTTTTTCACCTGATTGGATTAAGAAATGACTCCAATTGTTGACCAAATTTGAGATTAATCGGTCCAGCTACTTCTTTAGTGCAAAATCTTCAAAGATAAGATATCTTTCCAGACATGACTGTTCTCCCAGGGGTTGGATATATCTTCAAGAACAGAGCGATATTATTTGGGACATTTGACAAATGAGGAGTACCCACAAGTTTTCTTAGGATGTGGCAGGTTCCTGATGTACCGTCAGGGTCTGGCTGGCTATGTCGGTCCTGTGCCCAGAGGCGCTCCCACCCTAAGGCCCACTGTGCAGCCACAGTGGTAGACAGTGGACATTCACATTTTGGCAAAATGGGGTGCTTCTCGCCAAGGAGGAGCTTGCTGCATTTTCCCCAGTGAGAAACAGCCCTTTTCCAGTTTTGCTCAAACCTAAGGCTCTCAAGGAGTCCCTAGGCTGCCCCCAGTCCCTCTGCCTGGGTATCTCTCTGTGTGCCCAGCCTGCAGCACAACCAACCTTTTCTCCAGCCACAGCAGGTAGGGTGGACAGTCACATTTCAGTGTCGTAAAGGCCTGACCAAATCGGTGCTGCGGAAACTTTTGGAGTTCTGCTTTGGACATTGGTCGAAATCCCAGGACGACATCCGACCAGAAAGGTAACTCTTCCTTGGGAGTGTTTTTAAAGACCTGCCACCTGAAAAGACACAAAGAAAAAGCTGCAAAACGTAGCCGCTCTTGCTCTGCCATGTTACGTGTCACGGCAATCTTAGCACGAACTCAGGAACCTGTTCCTGCTCATCAGGGCAGCTCTGCAAGGTTAACAGCAATGGGGAAACATTGCTCCCAGCTCCTGCAATACCTGCCTTGGCAAACAGGCAGAGGGCTGCCACAGGTGGGCTTGAGGGTGACACAGTGGGGTAAATAAACTGGAGAGAGTTCTTCCAGCTATACTGTATGTACTTCCAGCTGGGGAAGTACCAAGTCCCCTCACACAGTGTCCCCATCGTGGCTGCGACCACGCTGACTGGACCTTCATTTGCACACCCGGTCAGTTTTTTGGGTACCGGTAAGCTACAGAGTGCCCAGCCTCAACACTCCCACAAGGCAAGTTTCTGTGTGCATAACAGGCAGCATAAAACATCTGCAACACCCTGCCCCAATCGCACCCCTACACCTACTTGCTGAAGCTGGAAGATCCTGCAGTCCCATCCCTATGGAGACCACCCGTGCTGCAAGCAACTAGTGGATGACAGTATGGAAAACACCAGTTATTAAAAGACATTTGGTGCTGACCAGTCTTGAGTGGTTTCCCTGTGCACACCTATGCATTAATTTTCCTTGACAATACATCATATCTGAGCAGCTGCAATGCAGTTTCTTGGGAATATGGTCATAAAAGCTACTCCACGAAGGGAATACGCCTGAACTCCAAGGAAAATCTCTCTGCCTGTTCCAGCACACAGCACAAACATACCAAAGGCTGCCCCATGGGCCGTTCTTACCCAGAGACCAGGTGAATGCCAGCCTCTGATGCCTCGGCTGAGTTGCTGATCGCAAAAAGGTAAGCGAAGGTGTCTTTGAACCACTGCTTCTGCACGTGGATCGGTGTGCCTGCATATAAGCAAAACCAAACATGCGGAGAGGAACAATGCAAAGAAGAGAAGCGTACAAGCCAATGTTGAGGAGATGGGACAGATGGGGAACACAGGTCATGGCACTTTTCTTCCTCAACCTCTGTGCCTTGCTGCACACCTGGGCACGCAGCCACATGCGGTGCCATGGGCAACGCCACGCCGGATTGCACAGACCTGGGTGGGTGTGAGGGATGAGCATCCCAGCTGCGACGTCGCTCGTTGTGTTGGGGCTGAACTGGTCTGAAAGGATTGTCACGGAGCAGCTGGGATAAGTCTCCACGATGCACATCGCTGTGGACAAGCCGACGACTCCTGCGCCAACCACTGCGACCTTGGGTGCTGCCATCTCCAGGGTGCAGAGTCAGAGGAGAGCGGTACCTACCTTCATTTGGAAAGAACATATCCCATGTCACCAATATCCCTGCTGGACACCCTCGTTAGGCTATGAAATGTGTACACAAGATGTAACATAAACCCTCTGGGACAGGTAATTGAAGACTGCTGCACACAACCAAGACTAAGGTGAGGATTAAAAAATCTCAGCCTTCAGTATGACGACAAATTTTTGAAACGTATTTCAACAACAGCCACAACCCCATCCTCAGCACAAGAGCAAAAGGCAAGAGCGTGATCTGTACATACAGCAGTGATGTTTGGGCTGTAGCAATGTGGGGCAAGGTTTTTTCAATAAAACACAAGGGAGTGAGGTACCCGTCAAGTTTTCTATCATGTCAGGGGCAAAAGTTGGAGCTATGGGAAAATCGGCTTTTAGGGACCATGAGCAAAAGGCTTGTTTGAACATCAGGGCCTCCAGCAATGAGGTTTGTCACTGCCTGGGCAGTGGAAGCAAATCACACAGGAGGCAAACTGGTTATGCAGAGCAAAGGGTCCAGTGCATTGGGGAAGATGTTTTTCTTAACATGCATCTTAGTTCCCGTGCTGTGCAGGGCTCCCCCTCTGACCCTGAGGACTGGTTCCCTGCTTAGCTCTGTCCTAGAAAACGTGAATTTTACCTGTTAAACACAATGCATAGTTACACAGGGTACAGTCTGCCTGTTCACACTCCCACATCCAAAAATTGTTTGGGCCACGATTCCTTGGCAGACAAAGTGTGGGAAGAGAAGCTACCTGTACCCTGGGGGATTTTGTGTCCGTAGTGACCTGAGGGCCCCAGCCCATCCTTGGCCCCTGTACCTAACAGCGTGACCCACTGCCTTGGGCAGGTTCGTGGGCATCCGAGGCTGCCACATTCTCCCAGCAGCACATCGTGGTCCCCAGGAGACAGCCAGCCTCACTGCCCCAAAGGCCTGTATATTTGCCTGTCTCTGCCTTGCTTTAGAACTTGCTTTATGTCCTGGAGCCGCTCCACTCCACTCCTCAGCACCTCCAACTGCTGACTGCTACTCCAGGAGATGCAGCATCTCTATTTTCCCTCGTCCTGGCCAAGTTTCGGAGGTTGGCACCTGTCCTGGTGAGTGGCACACAGCTCCCGGCTGACAATCACCGGGCTGCCCATCCCAGCGAGGTGCCAGCCTATGTGCCTGGCTGTGGCCAGCTAACAGGTTTCATACTGGCAGAGGCACGAAGCACAACTGAACCATGCAACTCCACGCACCCTGCAAACTCCCCGAAGGCAGGAACTCAATGGGCCCAGAATCCTTCAGCAGCTTTGAAAGAGGCGAGATGGGGTGCAGGTGCCGGCTCAGGCGCTCCTTCGAGGGGTGACTGCCAATGGCTGAGCAGAGACGTAGGCGAGAATCTCCTTTGCCTACAGCTCTTATGTTGTCCTGGAGCATCCACCAATAGTCACTCTCGGAGAGGACGCCGAGCAAGGTGTTCCTTTGGTCTTGCTCCCTTATGGTCTTGCTTTCTCCTATGGGACTTGCTCATCCTTGACTGTAGAAATCCAGCCTCGCTAGTTGCTTTCTGAGAACCTTTTCTGGAAACCAGTGCCTGCAGTTACATGGACAGGCTGATTTCCCATCTTCCTGTGGCTTTTGGCATCTTTGTTGTAAATTTAGGCAAGACAGGCTGCGTAGGATTATGATAGGTCAGGTTTATTTATGAGATCCTTGCTCATAACTCTTCACGCAGCTTCTCACTTACCCCTGAGGATTTACGAAAAATTTGACATCCCTACTGTGTAGGAAGGAAGAGAGGAGCAGGCGCTGTTGCCCATCATTGCATTCCTTCTGCATCACATCCGAGGGTTGTTACAACCCCTCTTCTTCCTCTCAAGGCGACACTGAAGTTTCTTCCTGTTAATTATCACATCTTTCACCAGCTGACTATAAACGTGCCCACACAGCAG